AAAATAAATAGTTTAAGCAAAAAACGTTTGGTTCCATACTTTTTATTCACCTGGTATATTAATTTGAAATTTTTTGGCCGTGCTGTTTAAAAATAAATTTAAAAAAACCTCTATTTTTGGCTATTTTATTTTTTTATAAAAAAAAACTGTACGCAAGAATTTTTTGATTTATTTTTGGCGTATTGTAGATTACCTACTTATGTTACTGTATTTTTTTCATGCAATTTAAATAATGCGTTTTTTCATAAAAAAAATACGTTACAAATACTCAAAATGAGATGAAAATTCTGTGTTACTGTGTGTGAGAGGTACTTTTTTAATTCAGGAACAACATCCAATTGTAAAAAAATAATTTGTTAACTGTATTCCTTAAAAAATCATGAATGAGGGCTTCAAGGTTTTATGAAATGGGTTTTTATATTATTTTTGTAATTTGCACTCTTTATGCCATTTTTAAAGAAATTTTTTTTACTTTAATCGATTTAGAGATTGTGTAAAAAATATTTCACTTTTAATTTCTCAATTTTCTGCCAAAAAAATGAAGTTCAAAAAAAAATTTTATTGTGGATTTTGTAGAGTGGAGTAAAAACTAAAAGTACACATCTGGGCGTGTATGTGTCGCAGACGAGTCCATTTTAAAAAAAGAGGGGAGTTTTCCCAGTAGTGCGTAGATTTATTTTGGGAACAAATTAAAGGCACAGTAAAAATAATAAATGCACAGTAGAAACAATGAATGCAAAACTAATTAATTTAATATTCACACATTTACAAAAAAAATGTTTCCGAGCAAAATCGGAATATTGCAAAGCGTTCAAAAACAAAATTGTGGTATCAGGAGCACAGCAGTGCAAAAAATTACGTACGCTGATTAGACTGATTACCATTTGTGCGCAGTTTCCAGCCTTTTCTGAAATCATTCTTGCGCAGGGGCCTTTGTTAATACATATACTACCCTCCAATAATAATAAATATTCAGTAATATAAAAATAAATACCAATAATACCATTCTTGCGCAGGGGCCATACATTGTATGGACTGAAATTTCTTTAAATTTCATGTTGTTTTACTAATTTTGATTAAAGTTACTGAGCGTTTATTATTTTTACTGTGCAAAATAGTATATTATACTGATCATTTTTAATTTTTTACTGAGCAAAAATTAATTAAATCATTTTATACTGATCAAAATTGAGTTATTTACTGATCGTTTTATTACTATCCTTTGCCTTTTTAGGGCTTGAAAAAGAAAGCGTCAACTTTTACGCTTGCGCGCAATTAGGCCCCGCCCAGGTGTGTACTTTTAGTTTTTACCCCACTCTACATACAGGCTGTCCCAACGAAAATGGT